GCCTGAGGGAAGGTCTTGGTGTGGAGTTTCACTCTGTGTCTCGGAGTCGTATCTGCTGCTGGTTAGAGGTGTGGAGGTTAATAAGTTACCACAGAAATACGGTCTGTCACCCTCCGGCGGCTCTTGTGTTCAGACTTTTTGAGGAATTTAAAATGTCAATCTGACGGTCTGCATATTTGTGGACATCTGTGTGTTTACTCTAAAGCAGCCAAAATGAAAAAAATATATATTTTAGGGAGTAATTAGGCAAAATAAACTATTTATATTAGCAAATAATGCTTTGGGAATTGATAATAATTACAACACATTTTTTGGACTGTTTTGCAGAAAGACCATACCTGTATGAAGTGACATGATGTTAGGTAGCCTATATTTTAACATTTTAAAGCCCTCATACCTCCAATAATACCATAAAGCATTAGAATAGAATATTGTTGTTGGCAGGCTGGAGGCTCTTTTATCACTTCTTCTGCTGCACTCAGGCTACCGTTTAGTTCCAAACAGCATGAAGAATAGTGGTCGTGAGTGTAAAGTAGAAGGTTGCATCTGCGCGGTAAATAGCCGGCTGTTAAACTTTTTACAATGAGAAGGATGCTGCCTTCACTGTCTCCAGTTAACGTGTGCGTTCAGGCGAACAAACGGAGTGACGGGAGCCTGTTGGACAACATGACGGGAGCGAGCGGGTGTTACGTCCACGTTCCACTCCTCTGATTTCTATTTTTTATTCTTTCGACCAATAGCGAACGCTCTAAAGTTTGAAATCTTTTCTTTTGTCAGTTCGTCTTTGTTTTAAGAGAACAGAAAATATAAAAGTGATACAAAACATGTAAATGTTGGGATAAAAAAAACACAAAGACGTCTTTGCAGCTTTGTGGGAAAAACTATCATCTGTATTATTGTTGTTTCACTTAAAACTCCAAAAACGTGTATAAAAGTGCCGCGATACACATATCCACAATGGACGCGTTGTGTCAGCCTCAGTCAGCCAACGGTGAGCTCACTCTCACTTCCTGGTGGAAAGGCCAGAAGAGTCTGGACGTCCTGTTTCACATCTACTGTAACTGGAGCAACTGTTTTGTCCCGTCTCGAACCAGTCCGCCGGCCTTGGCACACGTACCCATCAGTAACCGTGCCAGGCTAAGCTACCAGCAAGTTGGCTAAGCTGCTTAATGGGCCTATCGGGTTCCTAATAGGATAACGGCAAAGCAAAGAGACCTCATTACGGGGTTCAGAGAAGCACTGATGGTTCACAAGTCTTTGTAAGATGATGGGGGAAGTGTCCGTCTGCATGCGAGCTGGTTGAGCTTCAACAAGGATGCTGGAGTATGTTGGTGGTTGATCCACTTTTATAGTTATTACTTCCCCCCCATGTTCTGTTTTTGGATGACTTCAACCGACTCACAAAACATGCTTCTGAGATACATTTCAGAAAGAGCAGTGGAAGGCAATGTTGGACGACGTTTCCATTTGTTTTGCATCGTGCTTGTTCATTTTAGGCCATTTACTGGATGCTCTCAATAGTCACTGTCAGCAGATTTAATCCAGTGGAATCAGTGAGAGTAAGCAGGAGGTGAGGAGGAGGAAGGAAGGAAAGGAGAGTAGTGATGACGGATGGAGAGCTCACGAAGCCCCTCGTCTCTCCTCGCAGTGCTTCTTTTTCCCTCCGTTGACCTCCGGCCTGCTCTGAGGGTGTTTCTGTGTCTGTTCGAGGCAATAAACGTCACTTTTAGTTCTCACAGTTGGCCGCGCTTTGGTTTGCGGCAGCTCACGTCACAGGGCTTCATCTGCAGAGGAGGAAAAAAAGGCTGAGAACACATGTTTGAGTGTGAGAGTGCTTTTGCAGAGAGACGAAAAAAAAGCGAGATTAAAATTCGTCATTTTGAGTCCGTTAGATATTGAGTGACGGTCTGAGCTTTTGCCGCGCTTTCTTAAACTTTTGCCCCCGTGCATGTCACTTCGGAGTCGAGCCGGCCTGTTGCAGATGCAACAGTCGGCGTCTTTTGCCTTTGCAAATCTACCTTCTGTGGTTTCCTGTGTTTGCTCCTCTTTTCTTGTTGGTCTTTTGTGTGAGCGAGTGTGTTCAAGTAAACTTGAGGAGGTGACACTAAACACTGTTTTTTTTTTTTTTTTTCACAGAACTTGCAAACCTCAACACTTACGACCTTATTGGCCTTATTGGCCTTATTACACATCACTTCTTCAGAGTAGAGCCGGTCTGACTGGTACACACCGTTAATACACATTAAAGCATCACAAAACACAACCATTGTGCATCCCTAATGGCTCTGTTATGTTGGATGTTTCACAATGTTTGGAGTAAATGCAGCCAAGACCGTTTCATGTTATCCGCCCCTGAAATCCTCGCACTTCATCTGCGCGTAGCTCCCATTCGTCCTCTTCTCTCCACAACACGCCATCCACTTCTTCTGGCCTCGCCTTTAATCTCACCCCAACACTTTTACCCGCAGTATCCTTCCCTTCTATCGCTCCCTGTTTTGCGGGGGAGGGGGAGGGGGGGGG